TAACTCTATTGTGTTGGTATAGCAATGACCCTCTATTTTTGTGCTTATTTCCATTATATTATTGTTATCATAGAATATCTTCATGTTTTAGGTGAGTTGGCATTGACCATATGTTGTTTGGTGTATTACCTGTTTATTTTTATCAAAAAAGTCTACTTGTTTGTGTTGTTTTGGAAATTATCCTCTATTGTCTTCATATATTACTCTTCTGTTTTGGTTTGGTAATGATCTTCAATTGTTGAGCTTATCACTTGTTCATTATTGTCTTCATATATAACTCTTCTATTTTGGTTTGGTAATGACCTTCAATTGTATTGCTTATTACCTGTCCATTATTGTTCTCATATATTACTCTTATGTTTTAGTTTGGTTATGACCTTTAATTGTATTGCTATTACCCGGCTTGTTCATTATTGTCATCATATACTACTCTTCTGTATCTTTTTGGTAATGACCTTCAATTGTTAAGCTTATTTCCTGTTAATGGCTGTCATCATAGTCTATATTTCATGTTTTAAGCAAACTGGCAATAACCCTTATTATTTGTTTATATGAGATTCATTACATTAGGCCATATATATGTGTTTAATATGAGTTCTTACTATACCTTTTTTTTGTAATTTGTGTAGTAACATGCCGAGAGTGAAGATGGCTGCAAAAAGATACCCTAGCTCCAATAGAAATCCCCCTCATCCAGCAAAAAAGCCAAGAGTATTCATTAGAGTTTCTCCAACTTCATCTCCTACCGCAGCAGGCTGTAATACCTCGTATTTTTACGTATTTTAATTTAAATAAGTATTTCTTAAAGTATTTAAATAATTTAAAATGAATTATTTATGGTTTTTATTAACTTAAAAGGAATTATTTTAATTAAAAAGTTTATTTTAATTATTTAATAATCTTGAAAATATTTATTTTATGATTTAAAAATATTAGGGCATATTATTTTATAAAAAGATAATTTTAAAGTCAAAGTTTTAAAGAAGGTCAAAATCCTAGTTTGATTAGGAATCCTACTTTGAGTAGGAAATGGATTGTTAAGGGTAGTAAGTAGGAGGTTATGAGAGGGTATAAATACCCATCATATGCCTAAGGTGGAGTGCACCCAAAGGTAAATTCTCTCTCTCTCTCTTATTTTTCCCCTTATTTTTCCCCTTCCCCTTTATTTATTTATTTTTATTTTATTTTAATCACCACCACACACACCGGCCGGCCACCACCACCAGCCTTTGTCGGCAGCAGCAGCCACCAGGCGGCGCGGCAGCAGCCAACCTAGGTGGTTGTGTGCGCCGGTGGTCTTAAAAAAATTATTATTGTTTTTGTTTTAATTAAATCTACCTTAATCTAATTATTGTTTTTGGGTTTTGTGATGATTTTAGGATGTTTAATAATAAGTATTTTGTATATTAATTTTGGATTTAATTTTAAATTAAAAAGCCCCAAATTAAAAACCCTAGGTTTCTAAATTAATGGTTATTGATGGAATTTGATTGTGGTTGATAAAAACTATTGAAATTAATGTTTTTAAACTAAATTACAACAATTTTATAAATTTTAATAATGCTGGAATTTTTATATATAAGCTATAATTATATTTCTTGAAAGGATTTTTAATTACCCATTAATTGGGAATAAAAGTAAGGGTTTTAAATAAAATTTCAGATTATATTAGAGGGTTTATGAGTGATTTAAAGAGAGTATATATTGCTGGAAATTTGTGTGGAAGAGGCATTAATACTTCTTTATACTTTTTGTTTGTAGAAGACTTTCAAGTAAGTGATTTTATTTAGTCGTGGCGATTTTGAGATCATATTCAAGGTACGTTCACGTACTTAGTATTTATTTGAATATGTAGAGGCATGCTAGGTTTTGTTTAATTAATTCCAAGTAGTATCATGATAGGTGTTGGTTGGAACTTGATAATAAGTGAATGATTTGTGTATGAATTATTTGCGATGAATTGGTGATTGGAATTAATTATATTGGCATGTTGGTTATGAACCACACTTTTATTATTGGCATGTTAGAGAGCATGTTTAATTAAACTAAATGTTTAATTTGGTTTGGAATATGAAAAGGGAATTTTATTACGGTTCATATAATTTTTATTGATGCTATAAGCTTGAGGAAGGAGCTATTTAAGTGTCTTAATACACAAGAATAAATTATATTGCGGTGTTTATATGCACTTAAGGTGTTTCTAAGACCGAGGGATAGGATTTGCGGCGCATTATGCGTTTAAGGTGTCTTTAGTACTAAGGTAGATTAAAAAGGGTTCAACTATTAAATTTGTGGACACTAATTATTCAAGAATTAAATTGGTATGTTTGGTTGCTTGAATGATTTATTAGAGTCATCACCAAGTCTAAAAATGTGTAAACAACGTAAAGTGAAAGAGATAACACACCAAAACTCTTGGAACGTATATACCTTGAGAATGAACATATGGGGGGAGCTATGCAACTTTATATTTGACCATAACTTCTACTGGGAGTACAAAATGTTGTATTTTCCTTTTTTATTATTATGCGCTGAACGTCCAGTCACTTTATGTGACATTTGCCTACCCGGTTAGCTTCCGGTGTAGTTTACCTCAATTTATTTGAGGCGGGGTATGGTTGGAAACCCGTTCGATGTGTAATCAAAATTAAATGAACATTGACATTGGTTTAGTTAGGTGTTGGATGTTTTGTATGCTTGTAAACAGGTGTTACATGGTAAGTTGTGTGATGTTAGGATGAAAGCATGTTAGTGTGTTTTATTACGCTTATGTACTCAGCTTTGCTGATTGTGTGTTTGTATGTTTGTTTGGCCTTGTCTTTACCTTGGCCCTACGACGACCCATTTCTAATGGCGAGTAGTGGGGACAAGTAGAGAGAAGCTTTCGGGTGATGAAGCATATTCATGAAGGGCATGAGTGAAGAACGAATTATGCTTAGTTCTCATAGGAATGTGATATGTTTTATTTGCTTTAAATATTATTTATTTTATTATGATCATGAGACTAACGCAAAGGTTTTAAATATTGATTGGGTTTTAAGGGCCTACAGTGGTTCCAAGTTGTAGGTTGACTTTGTTTGACTTAGTTTGACTTTTACTTTCGTTTGGTTTGACTTTTTCAAGTTGACTTGTTTTTAAATGGTTTTAAAAGTAGTCTTCCGTTGTGTGTGAGTCTTTGATATTTGCCTTAGCCGTTTTCACGGTAACGGTAATGTTTTAGATTTTCCTTTTTTCGTATTTTAAAAGGTCAAAGTGGGTATCTTTAAAGAAAAGGAATTTCTAGGGTGTTACACAGGTAGAAGGAGAGCCACAAGAAGCACGACTGACAATCCTACTCAGACATTTACCTCTAAAGTTGGCGCAAGTAAAGCATCCAAGGCCCATGTTGACCCACCAGATTCATTCGATGAGGAGGATCCAAGGTTTAATGTTGATTTGTCAAATGAAATAGTGGATACATCACCAATCACTCCATTCAACTACAACACTTGCAAGAAGGCATTGGGGTATGAGTTCAACGCGGACACAAAACAGTGGGTGTGGCTTGGTATCAAGCGTGCGCTTCGTCGACATTGGGAACTTGAACAACATGAGGCTGATAAAGTGACTGATGATGTTGATGGAGATGGTCGTCGTGCGGAAGGAATGTCTTTGGAGGCTATCATGTTAGAGAGCCTTGTTGTGCAAGAGATGTTAAGGCGTTTGCATCTAACACTCTTCAATGACATGACTGAGGTCCGAGAGATGGCGAAGTCTCGGATTGCCACTCCCGATGATGTTCATTCCCAAGAGACAGGTATTCTTTTAATTTTGTTCTTGAATTGCTTCACTTTTTTTTATTAAGTAAAGACCACACCATGTTGATGTGTAATTACCTGTATATTTATTAACACTCCAGATAACTCTCTGTTTTATCTTTGAATTGAACTTTTATTGTTAAGGTCAATACATGTTATATTTTTTTATACTCCAGACAACTCTCTGTTTTACTTTGAAATTGACCTTTTATTGTTAATTAAGGTCATTACTTGTTATATTTTTTTTTTCATACTCTAAACGCTCTCTGTTTTATCTTGGAATTGACCATTTATTATTAAGGACATTACTTGTTATATTTTTCTGATCAACAGCTACATCTCTGATTAGTGTGGGAATTGATCTTGTGTCTTATGGAATATTACCAAAAAATATTTTTGTGTATGTTTTTTTGTAAGTATTTTTCGTATAATACAAATGTTTTTTATGAAAATTGATTGTTTTCTACATTTTGATTATTTAAAGCTGGTGAAGTTATTGGCAAGAGCAATGCTAAAACAAACGATCGCAGTCGTGCTGGTATTGGTGATGAAAAGGATAATGATGACAGTGGTAGAAGTGAATATGCGTCTGGAGGTGAAGACTTTAATGATGATGATTAAGAATTTATATGTTGTGTATTGACATTATGACTTTTACTTGTGTGTTAATTATGTTTAAATGACTTTAGTTGGTATGATTAAATGATTTTGTAGGACTTAATATGACTTATTTTGTAATTGCCTTTTGGATCTAAACTTGGTTACATTGATCACAAGGGAAGCTCTTTATGCAATCACTAGACGAATAAGATAAAAAGGCATCGGTTCAAACCCCCCCCCTTTGGCACCGATTTTGAACCGTTTGGTATTTGAGAGATGCCAAATCCATGAAAATTTGGCACCGGTTCAAAACCGGTGCCAACTAAAGCATTTGGCATCGGTTAACCGGTGCCCACTACACGTTTTTTAATTTTTTAATTTTCAATACTTTTGGCACCGGTTCAAAGCAAGAACCGGTGCAAAAACCCCACTTTAGGCACCGGTTCTTGCTTTGAACCGGTGCCAAAAGTGTAAAAATAAAATTTTTAAAACTTTTGGCACCGGTATTGGTCAAAACCGGTGCCAAAAATACCCCAAAAAAATAAAATTAAAAAAAAAAAATTGCTTTTTTTTCACTTAAATTGATATAGAAACATTAACATATATATAAAGTTACATATTTTCATTAAAAAAGGCTGTAATATTACAATTTTCGTCCAAAAAAAAATCAAAGCAAGGAACGAAAATATCAAAGACCAGCTCCACACTAGCAGCTGAACAGAGGACAGCAGCAGCCAAAAGATAGGTGTAAATCGTGTTCCTAATACTAGCAGCTGAACAGAGGACAGCAGCATCTGAAGCTTCTCTTGGAGTTTGCAGGTCCAAGCTGATTAACTCTTACGAGACTTGTAGAAGCCATATTGATATAATTATATATGCAACTGATAATTTCATTTTGAACCTATGCACAGAACGTCAGAATTTGAAAGAAATTGAAAAGGCAAACTTGTTTCTTTCTTGGATAACCACTTTTAAAAATAAAAATTAAAATTAAAATTGAAAATTGTATAAACATAAATCTCAATACCTCCCCTCTATTACTTTTGAAATTATTACTCCCCTTTCATTCATTTCCTATCTTTTATATGGGGGAACGAAGTAAAGAAAATGGTAATTTTAGGAGAGAAGAAGCAATCAAATACATATTATTTTTCTATTAGGGGAAATCAGATTGCATGAAGTGGTGTATGTGCTCATAAATTGCCATGTTAAACAACCAATCACAATGTAAACATGCACTATATATACACACATTCTCAACTTTCCTCAACGTAGTAACCAATCACAAGGCATAAATGCAGTGTACACACATTTCCAACTTTCCCTAACGTAACAGCCATCCCCTTATAGCATTATCTTATCGCAGACGGTTCAGAAAAGTTAAAAAACAAGCGAGATAACAAGAACAGCTTAAAGCTAATTGACCTTGTGGTATTCAAGGGTGTCACCAGCGGCTCTCCGAACATCAACCATAAAAAGTGAGGGAGCAACTTCATAGACCTGAAATAAGGACAAAGGGATATTTTAAAATACTATTAGGATTTCGAGGGGCGTAGCTCAAGTGCTCAACAACAATTTTTTTATTTTTTTATTTTAAAAAAAAAAAGAAAAGAAAGTGAACTACCTCTACCACCACAGCAAACTGTCCTGCCTTACTAGCAGATATTCCTTCAAGTCTTGTCTACAGAAATCAATGAAAGGAAAAGGTTAGGGCTCAAATAGTTCAAGATATAATTTAACTGTTGTCTAAACCACATCTAGATCACAAAGGGAAACAAAGACAAAGAACCATTAAGTTAATTGACCTTAAAATTTCGATATAAATAAGGTAGAATATAAATAGCACGAGATAAAAATGCCCAATTCAATGAAGGAAATATCCCCCGGGACTTAGATCAAGTTGATTAATTTGTTTAAAAGGAGAAGCACTCCAATCCTTACCAGACAGCAGAAGCAACACTCCAATTCAGCATAGAATGTTTTGCAAGTGGCATATATATCAAGTTGTTATCAAGGTTACATTAAACGACAAGAAAAATCTATACCAGAAAAATAAAAAGGAGAATACATTAAAGGACATGAAGTGCTCAAAATATGAGAACCTAAAAAAAGTTAAGACAAACTTCAATGTGAAACCCTTTCATAAGACGCTCCAGATAAATAGAGTTCAATTTTAATTTTATTCCACAACCTTTTCTAGGAAAATCTTTGGATATTGATTTTGTATCTTTCCTTGTATGACAGAATAATTGAAGACTCATGTTTCAATGGTTCTGAAGATGGCAATCAGCCTCCTTATTGCTGAAAAATGCCAAATCAAGCTGTTGAGAATGCTACTCAGCCATAGGAACATGCAAGAATTCATCTCCCTGCAAGCCCTTTATTATATAATGTGCAGGATTCTCAGTCCAAGGGTGCCTTTTGAAGGTCCTTGAATCTGCCATGAAATGGTCACATCCTAATTTTCTCAGACGATTTTATAATCTTAAGGGGAAACTCTAGCTCCCCCTGCTTTCACTCATCCTTAATTCATCCAACAATAGGTCCCCATCTTCAATATTCAGAAATATATAATCCCTAACTTGCACAGCTTAGATCCTCATCAAGGTTACCACCACTCATTTGAGCATTATTCACCTAGTTAGCAGCAGAAATGCCTCAGAGACTCCAACAACAGAAGTTGGGTATCCTTAGCAGAATGTTACCTTGATATCCTAACCACAACAAGCCATATCCTCACAAGGGGCAATAGCATATGAGGAATAAGTATCCCCAGAATCAGAAATTGTGTTGTCAGATAAGCAAACTCTTTTAAAACTAGTTAATCTGATGGAAAAGAGCTGAAGGCCTGACCCTTACCAAACTTTACCAAAAAAAAATATATGAAATGAAGACTAAGAAACTAAAAGTTTTGGATTAATTGACAATTGTCTGAAAAAAGGCTTTATAAATATTCCATTTTTAAAATTAAAATAATAATAATAATAGACTTTCCAGCTACTATACATATTAGAAAGGATGACCAATATTAAATCCTTGAGGATTTTGAATCTCAATAAAAGCATAAGCATCAGTACGAAGACAGGATTATAAACCGCAAAACAAAAATCGACATCAGTACGAAGAACAGGATCATAAACTGACAAAGCTAAACCGTTACAAGAACCAACCAACCAATTGAAAGGTTCATTATTAGGGCCTTTGCTAAAATCAAGATTATTCGAAGCAATTAAACGATTATTAGGGCCAAATCTGCAGAAATCAAGATTGTAATCTCCATAATCAAGAGCTTCAAAGTTGCAAGAATAATCAAGGGTAAGAACAGACCTCGAGGAGAGAGAAGGCAAATGCGTAAGATTTTATGGTTTTGATAACATAGAACAAATTCACGAGTAAATCCATTAAAAATCAATCCAATAACACATGAATAACACAACCAGATTCGACAACCCTAAAACAACAACAACAAAATCAACCAACAATTCATCAATCGCAAAGAAGATCAAAATCAAGAACAGCTAAAAAAAACATAATCAAAACCAAAAATGAAGCGAAATCGAAACAAACCAGGAGCAGCTTCAATGGAGGTGAGAAAGCTCAGATTCGTCTTCAATGGAGAATAGAGCACGATTCAATGGAGGCGGAGATACTGCTTCAATGGAGTGAGAAGGCGGAGGTGTTGCTTCAATGGAGTAAGAAAGCTAGGGCAACCACTTCAATGGAGAAGGTGAAAATTCAGGAATAATTAGAGTATCTAATTATTTGACCTGTTATTTTGTAAATATAGTATATAGTCTTAGTCAATAATGTTGTTAGACTTAGTCAAGATTGTTGAGTTTGTTTTTTTAGCCTTAGCTTAATTATAACATTCTGTTTTCCTTAGTTATCTTGTTATGTACAATCTAGTCGGCTACTTGTATACTCCTAGGGTAATTCTTGTTTGCCTATTATTTAAAGATGCCAATGTGATTAATTAAAGTATGAAAATTTTTCACTTATCTTATATTTAGACAAAAAATGACTTTAGTTACACTACATGTCATGAGTAATATTTCACACAAATCAAAGCCACGACCACCCATATACTCCATATATCCCCAACCAATAATTATTAGATGCTTGTATTATACATATAAGCTAAGGGTATAACTGAACCGAGTTTATTAATAAACATTATGTTAGATTCACAATTATAAGTTATATGCTACATAATAAACGATAAAAAAATTAACAACCAATAAAGATCAACTAATAATTTGGTTTGTTTGTTAAAAATAAACAAATAAATAATAAAGGAAAAGAACTAATTTGTGTTTCATTATTAGGTATTAACCTGTAATTCCTAATTACCAACAATATTAAATACATAAAATAAGTCTTTGAATCATCAATACTACCAACAGTGTTAAACTGGGTTAGACATGTATGATAAGTATAATACCAATTGTTGATAAACATTATATTAAAAAAAAATTAAAAACTTTAAAAAGGGTAAAAAAAAATACATAAATTAATAAATATCACAAAACTTCTAATGTCATATACTCATGATCATCACATCTAACAACACACTCCATCTAACCCCATCCACAAATATACACACATCAGTAAATCAAAAAAAATAAAAAACAAAAAAAAAGAAAAAAAAAAAATTAACACCACAAAAAGGCTGAAATTGGTTTTTAACACCCAAAAAAAAAACAAAAAAAAAATTGTTTTAACAAGAGTAGGACTTTCTATTGTGAAAACTGGATTAAGCCCTGTTTTTTTTAGCTGCTCTGATGAAATCTGTTCTTCTCTACTCTACTCTGCTATTTATAACTTGGATTACAATAGTAGGACTTTCTATTATGTGAATTGGATCTAATCTTGTTACTTTATGTTAAGCTACTTTCTGTTTATAACTTGGATTAGTCAAACTTTTGTATGGTAACTACTCTTTTTTAATATTCTAAATTACATACCCTATAAATAGTAATCACTTTTTTATAAAGTGATCACATGATAAACTTACCATTATTGTAATAGAAGGGTGCCTATTATCATAGCATATGTGTATATGTGTATTCATATCAGATATGAGCAATACAAATTAGTTCACGTATGAGCAATACTTTACATATTAGATACTTATAATTTGTAGCAATAAGATAATCTACATTTTTTCAATGATAATTTTATCAACTTAAATTAAACTTTAACCTTTTGGGATTAAATTATATATGGATTCAACAATAATTATTGTAATGTATTATTTATTTCTTGAAAGTTAAATTTTAAATTTTTTTTTTTTTTTTTTTTGGAAACATATTAATTGATATCCCTTTTATATGAAACTAATTTAGGATCTCTAAATATTCCATTTTACCACTTTATTAGGATAGTATCAATATATATGGAATACAATTTATGATGATAAGTAATTAACTATAATACTCGATTTATTGAAGGCGTGATTTTATAAATTGGCATATTGTAAGATTTGTATGTAACATAAGTTTGGCCTGATAATCTTTTGTCAAATAATAAAAGGCATTTAGACTTCAATTGTTAAGTTACCCATATATAGTTGTTGGTTAGCTATTTTTTTGAAAAAACAATATTCTAGTACGTATTAGTTTTAAAATTCTCAAAATCACGCTAGTGCCAAATTAAATGAATAATTCATAGGTCATTGTTTGTTGATATTTAATTAGTTGAATCACATTTCTAAATAAATACTTCATGACATAAGCTTGGCATATATCATTTCATAATGTGATGACATATAATGTATAGAGTCATAACCTGTTGATAATAAACATGTTAAAGTCTTCATTATAATTCAGATCAATTATTAATATATAGTTAAATTAAATTCGCATTGATAATCTAATGAAAATTGTTTGATGATAACATAAATATAATCACAAAAGTCCTAATCATAGCATTTCATATGATTACAAAACTCTTTATGATCATAGACAAATAAACAATAAAAACTGTTTGTTATAGGTAATGTCCCATTAGAATATTGGTGAATACATATACAAAAACTAGATTTAAAATTTCATCTTTGTTTTTTTGGATCAAACAGGGTTTTGAAGAAAATATTTTACGGTTTCTTCCCAAATTTGCCAGACAAACCCAGATTATATAAAAAAATGAAGATTTAAGATTCCGATTACATATAATCGCCGATTTTGCATCCCTTGATTGAGATTGTCCAATTAAAATGTATTATTCTAGGATTAAGAAACAATTCAGTTTCGCACAAACCCCGATTTTCAAAAACAAAAAAAAAAAAAAAAAAAAAAAGATGGTGTGCGATCGGGGCATATGTTCATTCTCCGTCGATGCATGTGTGAGTGAATTGAAGGGACAAAGGTCATGAATTGGTGGTTAATTTCTGTTGAGCCCTAATATTGTATTTTAATCTTTGGACCAATGTTAAGGCCTAATATGTTTTAGGTTGTATATAAACCTTGTCATACAAAAAATACAGACTATTGAAAAATTATTTCCTAACATGGTATCGGAGCCTCTACATTCTAAACCCTAAAAACCCTAAAAAAAAAATTCTCTCCAATCAACATGGGTGACGAAGGCAAGATTGATCCTTCTTCTCCTTTTTACATTAGATCAAGCGATCAACCAGGCAACTTGATTACTCACTTGATCTTGAAGGGTGATAATTATCTATCATGGTCTAGGGCAATCACTTTGTCATTGAAATCTAAACGAAAATTTGGGTTTGTTGATGGTACCATGTAATACCCCCGATTCACTAGCTAATAATAAATAATAAATAAAGGAAAAATAAGCAACCTTTGAATAAAAGTGCGGAAGCATACACCCAAATCGGAGGTATCATCGCCACACTCAACAACTGGTCAAGTGTTAAGGCTTACAAAATCCCTATAATTACAACTCAATAAACTAAGTGAGCTATTTATGCAACTTTACAAACTCGTTATAAACACTAATCGAAACACTTGAGCTCCTTTAGCTACGATCACTTGATTAACCTGTTACAATCTTGACTGCTCACCATTAAGGACAAATTGCAAAATAGATCGTCGCAGGGCCACCATAAGAAAAAGACATGGCCGCAAATACAAGTAGCACAACAAAACAAAACACACGTCAGCAAAAAGCTGAGTAATCACCACTTATCAAGAATACTGAGAATAATAGAATAATTAACATTACTAGCTCAATTAAACAATGTAGTTCAAAACTACATTACACATTGTACTTTGTAAATAACCTTTGTCAAACCCAACCTCGAATAATAATACGATCCTTTACTCATTTAACTCATCTAACCAATAAGTGTGTCATGCTCTTTGTTCAATACCTAGCCTTGGACATGGGTAATTCAATAACAAACTAACAAGTATAAAAATTTGAATACTCTCAATAACTAGAAAACACCCCTAACCATGACCAACATATGGGTCAAATCCCACTGTAGGGGACCATAGAAAAATAAATAAATAAAGATTGTACCTCATTATTAACTCATGATTATCATCTCCTTACCAACATGCCAAGGACTAAGGTAATTAACATCGAGCCTCAAACCAAGAACAAAATAATAATTCTCAACATTTTTGATCTCATACATCGATCAAATAATCATTCATAGATTCATAAACAATATCTCAATAATGGCACGGGTTCCCAAATAATATAACATGACATACTTGTATCATAAAATATCTCAACTCTTGTTGGGCAATAATACTAATACCCAAATATAATTGAATCTCAACCCAATATAATATTAGTAACCCTAAAACCTCAAATAATAATACTCCCTAGAGCCACAACATTAAAAACCCTAGCATAAATAACACAATCAATTGATACGACAATTAAATCATATAATACAAGATACGACACACCCTAATCACATACGAGTATATATAAATCTTTATCATACAAATAACAAATCATAAAATTTACACACAATAATATCCTGCACAATCAATATAAACAATAATTTATAATTAAACAACTCCAAAAATTAAGATTCGTGTGATTACCTATAATAATAAGAGTAGGCAAACAACTCCAAAACGACGATTGTGATTACCTTGTAGATCAAATTACTTGATCGCACAACCAAATTTCTTGAACCAAATTGACAGTATTAGCAAAATAAGTGTTTAGAAGAATATGGGTGGAAAAAAAAGGGAATCAAAGCATAATTATTGTGAGTCATATATGAATAAGGATAAAGATTTGGGTTTTGTTTATGAAACTCACGCACAACAAAACGGAACGGTAGCTTTCTCTTTTTTTTTTTTTTTTTTTTTTTAAAATAACGTTAAATACATATGTTAATATGTACATATATAAATCTAGTTTATCATACAAATATTCCAACCAAATAAAAATAGGATTTTATAATTTTATAAAATTTTATCAAATATAAAATACAACTCGAATTTTATCTTTTATCAAATCGTAAAATATATGGGTATTACAGTCTATCCTCCTTAAAACAAATTTAGTCCTCAAAACTTAAAATAGAAAAATTTAGGGTATTACAATCTACCCTCTTTAAAACAAAGTTTGTCCCCGAAACATAAAATTAGAAAAAATAAAATAGATTTGACAAACTGATAGAATAAAATTTGGACCAAATAAATTTATATAGAGTAATAATATATTAGGGGTATTACACATCATCTCCAAACCGACCGAAAAGAACAAGATGCTCGATTAGGATACAGTAAATTCCATGTTGGTGTCTTGGATATTAAGGGCTATTGAGCCGAAACTTGTTGCTTCAATTCCCTATTTTGACGAGGCCAAGAGACTTCG